CAGTGCTTAAATTCCTCAAAGTAAAACCATTAACCCAAGGACTTTTTTTTCCACTAGGACTTGCAAGCTAGTCATTAATACCCACCGTCCCCACTACCTGATCATGTTATGGGAATCAACTTTTCTTTTAACTTTCCAGTTAAAATCCTGCAGTGGGGTGGGGCGGGGGGGGGTGGGGCACTGGCCAACTCGGTAAAGCAATTAGACTCTTGATCTCAGGGTTGTGAGTTGGAGCCTCATGTTGGGTGTAGAGATTACTTAAAATATTAAAAAAAAAATTCTTCAGTGGATTCCCATCTTAGGATAAAATCTCACATTCTAACTGTCTCAGTCTGTTTGTACCGCTATCACAAAATACTATGGACTGGGTGGCCCATGAACAACAAATATTTTTCTCACAGTTCTTCTGGAGGCTGGAAGTTCAATCAGGTGCCAGCATGGTTGGGTGATGTCCCTTTTCTGGGTCACAGATTTGTCATTGTATCCTCAATTGGCAGAAGGTGTTAGGGAGCCCCGTGGGGTCTCTTTTACAAAATCACAAATCCCATTCAAGAGGTCTCCACCCGGGCACCTGAGTGGCTCAGTTAAGCGTCTGCCTTCAGCTCAGGTCATGATCCCAGCCTGGGATGAGCCCCGCATCGGGCTCCCTGCTCCGCAGGAAGCCTGCTTCTCCCTCTCCCACTCCCCCACTTGTGTTCCCTCTCTCACTGTGTCTCTCTCTGTCAAATAAATAAAAAAAATCTTTAAAAAAAAAAAAAAAAAGGAGGTCTCCACCCTCGTGACCTAATCACCTCCCAAAGTTCCCACCTATGAATACCATTACATCTGGGAATTAGGATTTTAACATATGAATTTGGGGAGGACACAAACATTCAGACCACGGCATTTAGTATATGTACATGGGCCATTCATGATCTGGCTTCTAACACTTTCTCTATTGTCTTCTTTTCTTATACTCCAGTGAGCACTCTTTACACTGATTGTGTAGGGAACTTTTTTCTGGTCTGATCCTTAGATATTCTTTTTCCTGCTACCATGAATTTCTCTTTTCTTTGCTTCAAAAATTCACTTATTCATGTTACATATCCATCGCAAGTAATGCCTTCTACCGAAAACCCTCTGATAACTCCTCACATACCACTATCCACAGCATGAATTAAGGTCCTGCTGTGTCTCCCCATAACACCCTGTAATAATTTGTATTATAATTATGGATTTACTTATCTGAATGTCCCAATACATTGAATTCCATATAGTAAGATAATGCTTTAATAACGGTAACACTGGTGCCTAGTAAACCCATGGCATACCTTAGGTGTTCAGTAAATATTTGTTGAATGAATGAATGGTCAACTTGAAATCTTAATCATTTCACTTTTTTTTTAAATCTATCCAAGATACACAGTTTCCCAAAAAGATTGGGGACTTAGTGATGTAGGAAAGGAAAGAATGTTAGGGTTCAAAGCCGATGGCCAAGAATTCTTGAGATGTCTTTGGTGCAAAAAGGTGATTTTATTAAAGCACGGGGACAGGACCCGTGGGCCATGAGATCCTTCAGATGTATATCGGTGGGCCATATGCTTGGCGGATGATTGCCAACATGTGTCTTGGGGCATAGAGATAAACGAAGTTTCCAAAAGAATTTTTATATGTTAAAATAGGTTTACAGGATCTTGGGGGTGGGCTGCGGGGGCCGGCTAGGATTGCCTTTTGCCCTTAGCAAAGTGTCAACAGCTGAGTTCCTAGAGGAATGTCGTTCTGGCTGTTTCAAGGACTTGTCAATGGGCTGTAGTAGTAAGGAAATTTAATAATTTTCCTTCTGCCTTTGTTTCCCACCTCATTAGGGTCTTAGACTTAGTAAAGATTTAATAAAGGAAATTGTTACTGCAGTGCTTAAATTCCTCAAAGTAAAACCATTAACCCAAGGACTTTTTTTTCCACTAGGACTTGCAAGCTAGTCATTAATACCCACCGTCCCCACTGTGTCAGATGCTGTCAGTGCTCCTGTCATATCTCCCTCAGCACTCATCATTATGTATAGACTGATAGAATCATGCTGTTACCTGTAATCATCTACCTTAGGGCAGACCAGGAGTGTCCAAGAGTTAATGTATCTGGGTGTGGCTTTCAATTATGACAGATGGGGGTTGGAAGATAAGTACTTCAAGTTTCTCACCCATTTTTGGGATAACTCTGAGTCATGCTCTGTAGTCTCATGGAACTCCCATGAAGGACTGACAGTAGTCCCCCCAGAGTAATCTGTATAGTAATGCACCACTAGTGGCCTCCTTCCATGCCTCTATTCTCAGTTTCCACTCCACTTCTGAGTTTCCTGGGACTACCGCCCAGAGAAACAGTTTGCATTCAAATTCTCTTCTCACGTTCTGATTCTAAGGGAACTCAACCTAAAACAATTTCAACAATGTATATAGCCTATTAATAATCCAGTGCTCCTTGCAGAGCCATCACTGTGAAAGTACCAAGGCATGGCCCATTATGTGTCACTCTTCCTAGATCCTAATGTAAACATATAGGAAAGAACATGACTTTGAAGAGAAAAATAATTCATATGAGAATGGCCAATGGATAAAGGGAAGGTAATATAGTGCCATTTGTTTTCCATTAATGATGCTGTGGAATTTATGGGCAGATGGTCTGTAACAGGTGTGACTATAATTTGAGGAGACTGCTTCCTCAGCTACTCAGAAAACTGCTGTTATTTTGGAAGTGCAGCTTCAGGACTTTATTTCTTTACTTGCAGTCTTTCCTTTTACCTTAATATCTGTTTTTCTAAATCATTGACCAGCAGTCAACAGATTTATTCTCTCCCTACCACCCCATCACAAAGAGACACGTGTGTGTGCTTTCCCTGAGACACAGACACTTTTGTATGCATCAGTGCTTGAAAAGACAAGTTCATGGTGCATGTGTGCAATGGATATTACATATTAAGGGTCTCTGTGAAATATATTTCTGTTAAGTTTCTATGTTTATTTTATGAAAAATTAAGTTTAGTCAAATTAATAATTTACTGAAGATCTAGATGAAGACTGAAGAAAGGAAGTAAATTTTAAACAAAAAGATAGAAAACTTACTTTTTTTTGCCTTTTGTGTTGTAATGGACAAAGGATAATGGCTTTTTTTTTTTTTTTTTGGCTTGGCTTGGCTTGGCTTGAAGGCCCAAAATGCAACCTGTACTCTTGTCATAATATGTTCACTTGTGAGTATTCAAATTTATAAACTGTGGATTTCCCTTAAGTTATTATACTGTTTAGGAGATCTAGGTTTGGACATTTACTTAAAATTTTAAAATTGAGATTTATAAGTATAGATAATGTCCCTCTCTCTTGCTGTCTCCATTTCAGTTTCTTGACTTTCTGGAAGGCCTGGTTTTCCCAAAAGAGCAGTTTCTGGTAGAAGTCCAAAGGTGTGATCACGAAAAAAAAATCAAGTATAGCCAATGAATTAAGGACAAGAAGGTTTCCAATCAGGTAGGAACACTTAATCTCACACATTCAACCACCTTAAATAAAGTGTGCTGATGGCTGGATATAACTACTTGGAAAAAGATAGATATATAACCTACAAGGATGCTGTTTGCAATTCCCTTGGCGGTTGTGGTGTTTATCAGCCAGTACCTTGGAGGAAAATGAATACAATAACAGTATGATGTTTTTTTCCATTTTTAGCTCTTTGTTGCCTAGTACATGTAGTGATCTTGGTGACTGGCTTAATCCTAGGAGGTTAGACATGTGGAGCAGCAGATTAATCTTTTTGTTACTTTCTCCTAACACAAATCATTTTCTAGGTTATCTTCATGATATCTTCTAGTTGCTTATTAAAATTAATAGCCATGATGACATCAAGTAGTCTTTTTTTTTTTAAGATTTTATTTACTTATTTGACAGAGAGAGACACAGTGAGAGAGGGAACACAAGCAGGGGGAGTGGGAGATGGAGAAGCAGGCTTCCCGCCGAGCAGGGAGCCCGATGCAGGGCTTGATCCCAGGACCCTGGGATCCTGGGCAGATGCTTAATGACTGAGCCACCCAGGTGCCCTCAAGTAGTCTTTTAAGTGAGAAGTAGCTCCAGTCAGTGTTGTGAAGAAATCAGTTGGTTCTTGTTGGGGCACATCTATTTTTGGTCTTGGCAAAAAGTGAGTACACACAGAGAGTTAAAAGGGAGGAAAATGGGGCATGGAAAAGGGGACCTTATTTACCTATGCATGTCAAAATCCCACTAACAATTTTATTTTTCACTAGCAAAATTTGAGATAAAAACTTAAGGCAAAAAGAATAAAGATGTCTCATTATATGGTAAGACAAAAGGCAGTAGAGACATCAAAATCAGGGCCTATCCGTTACATTTGCACTTATATACTCAGTATTTAGCACACCACTTGATCCCTACTCAGTACTCAATGTAAGACCCCTGGGGAATGACTTATGGATGAATGAATGAAAGAAGTTAACAAATGGCATGATCTCATCCTTTTTGATAATTGTGTAATATTCCTTTGTGTGTGCGCACCACATCTTTCTTATTCATTTGTCTAGTCATGGATACTTAGATTGCTTCCATAATTGGTTATTGGAAAAAACGATGCAGTAAACATAGGACGCACATCTTTTCAAATTAGTGTTTTTGTTTTCTTTAGGTAAATACCCAGTAGTGGAATTATTGGATCATATGGTATTTGTATTTTTAATTTTTTGAGGAACCTCCATACTGTTTTCCACAGTAGCTGTACCAATTTACATTTCCACCAACAGTGCACAAGCGTTCATTTTTCTCCACATCCTCACTGACACTTGGGATTTCTTGTCTTTGATTTTAGCTATTCTGACAGGTGTAAGGGGATAGCTCATTGTGGTTTTGATTTACACTTCCCTGATGATTATGATTGTTGAACATCTTTTCATGTGTTAGTTGGCTATCTGTATGTCTTCTTTGAAAAAATATCTATTTAGTCCTCTGCCCATTTTTTGACTGGATTGTTGTTTTTTTGGTATTGAGTTGTATAAGTTCTTTATACAATTTGGATGTTAACCCTTTGTTGGATATATCATTCGCAAATATCTTCTCCCATTCAGTAGGTTGCCTGTTTATTTTGGTGATGGTTTCCTTTGCTGTGCAAAAGCTTTTTATTTTGATGTAGTTCCAATAGTTTATTTTTGCTTTTGTTCCCTTGCCTTAGGAGACATATCTAGAGAACTGTTGCTGCAGCTGTCAAGAGAAATTACTGCTTGTGTTCTCTTCTAGGATTCTTAAGGTTTCAGGTCTCACATTTAGGTCTACAATCCATTTTGAGTTTATATTTGTATATGGTATAAGACAGTGGTCCAGTTTCATTCTTTTACGTGTAGCTGTCCAATTCCCAGCACCATTTATTGAAGAGACAGTCTTTTTCCCATTGCATATTCTTGCTTTCTTTGTCAAAGATCAATTGACCAAATAAGTGTGGGTTTATTTCTGGGCTCTCTGTTCTGTTCCACTGATCTATATGTCTGTTTTTGTGCTAGTACCATACTGTTTTGATTACTACAGCTTTGTAGAGAATCTATCTAGTTTTAATCATTTACATATCATCCCCTTACATTTAGGCATAGTACCTACATTAGCCATACTATTAAATGACTCACATATGGATAGAAAATCCCGATAAACTTCTGTGCCATATTGTTTGCAAAACATGATTTTTGGAGCATTTTTATAATGACAAGGTAAGGGCAATTTCAGAATCATTAAATTCTAAAGTTATTTATACTTTTCCACAGGTATAGCCATAGTACTGCATCAGCTATTTCTCTGTAATCTGCTGTTGCCTTCTTTTGTTTTCCCAAGGGACAACCAAAGCGGTTTAATTAAAGAAAGAAATGTAAGTTTTTGCATAATGCAGCTTCCATAAAACCAAGCACACACACACACAACTCTGTGTCTCTCTGTTTCTCTGTTTCTCTCTCTCTCAGATATGAAGATGAAGTAACAATCTAAAATAGCACCCTGGGGCGCCTGGGTGGCTCAGTTGGTTGAGCGACTGCCTTCGGCTCAGGTCATGATCCTGGAGTCACTGGATCGAGTCCCGCATCGGGCTCCCTGCTCGGCAGGGAGTCTGCTTCTCCCTCTGACCCTCCCCCCTCTCATGTGCTCTCTCTCTCATTCTCTCTCTCTCAAATAAATAAATAAAATCTTTAAAAAATAAATAAATAAATAAAATAAAATAGCACCCTGGATCTCACTGCAAAATAAGAGGAAATCCATTCATATTTGATTGTTTTTTTCTTTTATTAATGTCTGATATTCCAATATACTTATTAATAAAAACTAAGTTGCTAGATGGGGAAATAGCTTCGTAACATTTTTGTCTTTGTATTTATCAATAATGTATGGAATTACCTCCACCACTCCATCCTTTTTCTGAATTCTCTTGGGGTAGGAGATTGTAGTTATCAGTTGTTTTTAAATTTCCTAAGCAGCCACAGGACTAGTTGTCACTTAAATAAAGACAGCAAATTGTCCCACAGTAGGAGGTCTCTTTATGGAAAATAACGTCTTCATATGAAGACGGAAAACTTTCATAGTTGAATGATTTCAACTTTAAAAGATTAAAGAGTAAATATATATGTGTGTCAAAGCCGACTCCCTTCTCTATGATTAATGACTAGGGGTTATCTTTGGTATGTAGGGGATTTTTAACTTTAAAAATACTATTATATATACTTAATACACACAAAAGAATATATTCAAATATATTAGGTTATGAGATATAATAATACACTACTAAAACTAAGAACTAGAATCTAAACTGCTGAATCATTGTGCTCTACTCTGATCATACCTTCCTGCTTTCATCAAAGAAATAACTAACCTTGATTTTATGTTCAACATTCACTTAATTTTTATGTGTTTTTTAAACTATATATGTGATTTTGCTTATTATTGACTTTTATAAAATTGATTTTGTATACTTTTTAAAGATTTTATTTATTTATTTGACAGAGAGACACAGTGAGAGAGGGAACACAAGCAAGGGGAGTGGGAGAGGGAGAAGCAGGCTTCCCGCCGAGCAGGGAGCCCGATGCGGGGCTCGATCCCAGGACCTTGGGATCATGACCTGAGCCGAAGGCAGGCGCTTAACGACTGAGCCACCTAGGTGCCCCTGATTTCATATTTTATGTAGTCTTCTGTGCTTGCTTTTTTTCACTCAACATTTATGTTTCTAAGGTTCATCCATGTTGTGTTAGTGTTCATTAATTTTTACTACTATATAATATTTCACTGTAAATACAAGAAAATGTGTTTATTACTCTGTTAATGATATTTGGGTTGTGGACATATTTTGAACAGCACTTACATGAACACTTATTTTAATGTTTCCTGGTACACATGTGCAAGATGTGTTTTAACCATAAATAACAAAAAGCAGAACTACTGAATTCAGGTAATCCTCCTGGATTAGCATAGTTAATCCTTCTCCTAGACTAGCATAGTTACAAGTTTATAATGGTAGTCTGCTTCTCAGTCTATTTGTGCTGGTATCTCTTACTAACACCATAAACTTCTGCCAGTTGTATCATTTTCCATTTGAGGTTTTTGGGTTTTTTCCTAATGCTGTTACTGTTCTTTGTTTTTTTTTTTAACTCTATCAAATGTCTTTGAATCTGGTAAAGTCTTATTTGTATTAAAATAAAATCAACAGGATTCATAAGAATGAAATTAGGTCCTTGAGAAATTTATAACTTCCTACCTGCATTCAAATTGGAGTAAATCAGCCTGAAATTCATAAACCAAACAACAAAACAAAAAACTGTAAGGAACACTCATACTCGGGAACTCAAAATGGTTGCACATGTTTATCCTGTAAGAGGTCTATAATGAAAGAGAAAGATAAAGACTGCATGTCCAAACCAAAATGCAACCTTGAAAATCACATTTCGGGTCAGGCCATATAACAGTGAGGCAATTCAGTAAATAAATTAAAACAGTTCTTGTTTTCAACAATTTCCTAAGTCAACATTGGGAATAATGAAAAACTTATCTTTAACTCCAAGAAATCTGGGCAGTTATTAGTTAAAGCAAATGTGTTGTCCTACTCTTCTACACCTGGCTAAAAATAGTAGTAAGACTTAAGAACACCTGTGGACACTGAACAGACTCTAAATATAGCTTTTTCTTTCTCTAAAAGCTTTTAGAAATGTGCTATCTTTTGTGAAAACTTGGCCTTTGTAAAGGGCACATGGACACTCAGGTCAGTGACTTTTAGGCCTAAAAAAGCTCTGAAGTATTTTCTTAGTTTGGGAACCCACATTTTGCAGGCATGAAAACTGAGGCCCAAGAAACTCAATATTTTGCTCAGCATCAAATGGTAAAACAAGTAATAATGATGGCACTCAAACCTCTTGTCTTCTAAATCCATTGAACATGGATGGCATGGAGTAGCTTGTAATACCTGCTTATTTTCATTGCCCTCAACAACAAATTCCTTCTTTTTT